GGTCTCGAACGGGCTGCAGTGTGTGCTGAACAGGGTCAACAATGCAGCAGATAAGAAGGACGGACCACTCCCAGTACCTGGTACGATGCTACCGTCCTCCGTGTAGCTGCCTGGCGGCAGCGATTACACGTCCTATGATACAACGACCGGCAGGGGCGTGCACATGTAGAGCACGAAAAATGTAGCGTCGAAAAGGCAGGAACAGTAGGGGAAGTTAGAGGCGGAGGTGGCCCAGTTAAAATATTACTCGTGCCTACAGTAGCTGAAAGCTGTCGGGCTCTGACCGCCCGTTGAGAAGCCGTCCTGCGGCAATTGTCGCAGGACCGAAACTGTGTAGAGCGCCATGGTCTGGCGCAACCAGAGCAGAAAGAACGTTGCGCAGGAAGAGATGTCATTAGAGAAGAGATGGCTTGAAACCAGCAAACGGCATCCGTTCCAAGGCGCACTAGGAGAGGAGCGACAGGAAAAAGTTGGGGCCAGCGAGAAAGATCCGTGTTGATCATTCATATAGTAGAAGTCGAACACGTCACCGTGCGCATGAGTGCATAATAGTACTATCTGCAGGATGCTCAGGACAAACAAGGGTGGAATCATAATAGAAAGGCGAGAAGGCCGGAACACCGACTCCAAGACGAGCGGGAACACCGGGATCCCTAGACACGGAGAAAAAGCAACAGAGGCCGAATACGAATTCGGGAAGCACGAAGCCTAAGGAGGAAGGAAAGGAAAGTAGGTGAGCAGCAATCAGAAGAGAGCGCGGAGAGACAGAGCAGCAATCGGAGGAGAGCCTGGAGAGTCGCAGCAGCAAACGAGAAGGAGCGTATTGGCAGTCAATAGGAGCATTCCTTGGCACGAGAAAGCACCAATTAGCAACGAAAAAAACGAAGAGTTTGGCAGTGAGAGGCCAGCAAAGGTTGGCGGGCAGCTCGCGCAGGGTTGTAAACCCTTTCACTACGTTCCTTCGTTTCAGGGCAGGCGAAAGCATAGCTAGTGTTTCCCCATCATTGTTTCATTCTCACCGTTCATTTCCGACCCGCCATGCTATCAAGTATTGTCGAGTGATACTAAAGGTGTGCCCCGCCTCGCTCCCAGGTACCACTTGGACTACTAACACTGAGCAAATACAGAATGGCATCCTCACCTAACCCATTTGTGCGAAAGACGCGTGGTCTTCCGCGTCGCGACTACAATGCTCTGAACAATGGCACACCCTCCCTACTCCCTGAGCCATGGGAAGGAAATATTCGTGAAATAGAGAGCCCCTGCTCACCAGCACCATCCGAGTTTACAGAAGGCGAAGAGACGTCCCCATCCGTGCTGTCCTTACCCATTCCCAGGTCTTCGCCCGCACCGCTAGATCCCACGCTATCAGGGTTGACTAGCAGTCAGAGTAGCCCACCGACTTACAAGAGACGAAAAGCCAAGTCATATTCGAGCTGGACCCTCGAGCATTTCTGGATCACAAAGCTAGACAACACCTGGCGTCGAAAGGGTGGGCCACCAAAGAAGGATCGGCTCTTAGTCTGTAGGCAGTGCAGTTGGTCATCCAGGGATTCGGCACGCTATGGCTCCACTTCGAATTTGTTGGCCCATCTCCAGGCTAAGCACCGCATCAGTTCCGGATCAGACATCACGTCATCGTCAACTATCGGAACGACCCTGGACAGTTTTTTGACACCTGCAAAAGAAAGGGCGGGCCTTGAACAAATGCTGATACAATGGGTTGTCCAAACGAGACAGCCGTTTACGGTAGTGGAGCATCCGGCATTTAGGGCACTTTTTGAAGCGACAGGGGCTATATTACCCATCAAGACGGCCGACACTCTCTTCAACAGGATCAAGGAGGAATTTCGCAAAAACCGGACTTGCGTGAAAGAAGAATTAGCCAGTAGTAGTCGCACGCTTGCGCTGTCTCTTGATGTTTGGACATCGGAGAATCAGATAGCGATCATGGGCATCATTGGCCATTGGATCTCACCCGAGTTTGAGAAGCGGGAAGAGCTTCTGGAGTTTACTGACATATGTGGACCGCACTCTGGGGAGAACCTTGCGGAAATTGTGATTAGAATGCTCGAGGAACTAGACGTCGCGCCAAAGCTCCTCACAATTACGGGGGATAATGCTGCCAACAATGGAACTCTCTGCGACAGTCTTCACGCCGAGCTTCTCAAGAACTATGACGATAAAGACGACCAATTTCGCATCAGACCTCTTATGCGGTTTCGTGGACGGCAGAGCTTCATTCCTTGCCTTGCCCACGTCATAAATCTCATTTGCAGGGACGTACTTGCTTCCCTGAGGGCCGGCTCAGCTCGAGAGGCGAAGGTTATACTGGACGACATGGCCACACAAAGTAGCCCAACATTCACCTCTGCCCACAGCACGAAGGGAGCAATCATGAAGATCCGGCTGCTGACCCTATGGGTTGCCCGCAGTCCACAGCGCCGCCAAAATTGGAAAGATGTGTCACCAGCCAAGCAAGTGGGCTACGATGTTGACACTCGATGGAACTCAACCTATATCATGATAGCGGACGCCCTTCGGCTACAGAAGGAACTTGGACAATTTGTTCGGATGCATCCAGAAGTTCACGCCCTTCAACTAAACGAGAACGAATGGTCGATTCTTCAACAAGTAGCGAAGGTTCTTAAGCCATTCTGGGATCACACCAACTCCGTATCAAAATCTTGTCCCACGATTGTTGAGAGCTTGCCTATCTATTGGAGTCTAGACGACCTCCTTGACGAGGTTCAAAAAGCCGAAGGTGATTTTGAAGGTGTGGATACTGAGATCCGGGATGCGGTGGAAAGAGGAATCCAAAAGATGAACAAGTTTGCGAGGAAGATGGACACCAATCTTCTTTACTACGTGGCTTCCGTCCTAGACCCGCGTATTAAATCGTCTTTGATTGGATCGCAGATGAGCGAGCAAGATGCGGGACTGATCATCTCTCAAGTGCGGGAGTTCCTAAAGAGGGAGTATCCGCAGGAGTTGTCCATGTCGTGTGTAGTGGATCGCCCGCCGGGAATGTCAGAGACTATGTGGAGGACGCTGCGAAAAGTACAGCCATCACAGCGGACGCTTCTTTCAGACATTGATAGATATCTAGACGCGCCACCGGTGAGTTGGTCCCACCATATGATTGACGATGCAGACGAGGAATGGGTTCTCAAATGGTGGAAGGCAAATGTATTTAGCTTTCCACTCATGGCAAAGGCAGCCCGAGATTTCCTGCCAATTCCATCAGCGGAGGTAGGGATTGAACGCGAGTTCAGCAATGCCAGGGATGTATTGGGGCTCAGGAGACACTGTCTAAATGCGGAGACTATGCGGTGGCTTATGCTACTGAAGGGACAGTATCAAAAATAGCGTTCCAAAAAAGTGATTGTGATAATATTAAGATTTATGGGAATGTAATATCTTAGAGATGGTGAACGCATTTGTTACAGAGTCTTAGGCACATGAAAATGGGTTCCTGTATTGAGACGTAACAACATGAACGGTAATGTATGCTCTCTCAGTATATGAATAAATATGATCATTCATGAATATTCATGAATAATGCAATATGAATAAGTCTCTTATTCATATTCATATTATGCAATTCATATTATTCATATTCGCAAATATTCATGAATATTCATGAATGATCATATTCCTTTCGGAGCCCTAGTGGAAAGAGACGGTCCCTTTTTCTTTTGTGGTGCTTTCGGAGTACGGTATTTTTTTTCCGCCCCTTTTTTCCAAGCTAGGACTGGTTTTAGCGATATATATAACAACCAAAGGTTCTATTGACGTACGCATGATCACATTGAATAATCCCATTGTAAAATTTGCACGGGTTGAAATATTATCCGATGAAAGAAATAGCTTTGGTAGAGAAGAACTAACGTAAGAAGTTATTTTTATAAGAGTAATTGTGTAAATAATAAGAAAGCTGTGGTAACAAGTAGACAGCCTCTTTATAATAGTTCGTGTGGAAGTATTTGCAATACTATTTTCGGCATAGAGAGTAGGGATCATGGCGCAGTAGGATAGTATCGCAACATAAGTTGTTGGTTCACACGTACATGTACAGTAAGATTTGCTGTTATCACCGGTGACGTGCTCTGCAACACTCTTTCGGGCACCCTATATCTACTATTTGTAACGTTGTTTTTTAATCTGGACAGTAGGAATAGGCCATCCCAATAAGTGCGACACCGTTTTAAGTATTGCGTGTATAAGGTGCGGGGACATACTGCGGAGTAGGGACACACTGACGGGTAGGGACATACTGGGGAGTAGGGACATACTGAGGGATAGGGACATACTGGGGAGTAGGGACATACTGAGGAGTAGGGACACACTGGGGAGTAGGGACATACTGAGGGGTAGGGACATACTGGGGAGTAGGGACATACTGAGGAGTAGGGACACACTGACGGGTAGGGACACACTAACGGGTAGGGCCTTACTAGGGAGTAGGGACATACTGAGGAGTAGGGACACACTGGGGAGTAGGGACATACTGAGGAGTAGGGACACACTGGGGAGTAGGGACATACTGAGGAGTAGGGACACACTGACGGGTAGGGACACACTAAAGGGTAGGGCCTTACTAGGGAGTAGGGACATACTGACGGGTAGGGACACACTAACGGGTAGGGCCTTACTAGGGAGTAGGGACATACTGAGGAGTAGTACACTGTAGTGCCGCTACTATGACGGGTTAGCGGGCGGTGGCAATAAGCGCGCCCCAGTTTCAGTGTCGTGGGTATATTTAACAATGAGCCATCTTCCCGTAATTTAACCTGATAGATTTGTATGCCTTCTTTAAACGGAGAAAAATGGAAACAAGCGAAAATATCCTTGGTCAGCGAACAAACAGCCTCGCCCTTCAAAGACTACAGTGCTACCAGGGATGCGCAATTATCAAGTTACAGCATCTGAGATTAGAAGACAATAAAATTATAGGAACAAGAGGGTTCGCCGAAGAAAATGTGACAAAAATACTTCGAATGTTTGAGATCGAAGGCTGTGGTAATCTAGAACCTGAGCACAGAGTCGCTGCCATCATTGAGCAAGATGTTTTAAGAAAGGCACTCACAAAATCAAACCTTACCCGAGAAGACCTCCTAGACCCTACAAATCAGCCAAATCTTATACTAGAAGGCGAGGATCTGATAACTTGTGTATATGGGAAACATCGTTTGAAAGCTGGCGAGAGATTTGGAGAGACTATATGGCTGGTTGATCTCTATCGAGACGGTAGGATAGCATGGCCAATGCCGATTATCTCTAAAGGCTAATTATTTTATCAGATATCTCGATTGAGGCACTCGCCCAATTGCGTGAGGAATCGACAGAAAGCATAAAATTTACTGTCGGCGAAATATATCGTACCCTTAGGTCCTACCAAATTTCCCAAAACGCCGCCCAGGAGCAGAAATGGTGGGCTAGACTAGGTTCCGAAGACTGTCGCAAGCAGGTACGACGCTTACAACGTGACACTCATCGGCGTGACATTCTAGACATGTTGTTACCTTATGTTGGGCTATGGAAACCTCTGAGATCATCCCAAATCACAAGGATGCTAGGACTGAAATGCCCGGAGGTAAGTTTCATACCCGCGTATAGCTTACCTATAGCTAAAGTCCTAGATCCTACTTCATTACCTGCGGAAGATATATGAAATGTGGAAAGCAGTTGTCAATCCACAATGGGGTTCAGTTGTCGACTCAGATTCCGTGCTCCAGATTGAAGGATTGATGCCCAACATCTCACTAGCAGACCGAAGACGCGTCACGGATCTTATGGATTCAAAACGGATATTTCCCCTTATTACAATACCTGAGGATAGGGAGAAGGTCAAGACTCATCTTCTCCAAACGCCTGGGAGAATAATATCTCTCAATACGCTTCTCCAAGATACATTGTTCCTCGAAGAACCAGCAAAAGCCCTCCACCGTCTCTGTCCTCCGAAATTTAAAGGAAGCTTCAAAAAGGCCATGTTGAGTCAATGGAATCTTATTGGAGCTGCCGGAATCCTTGAAATTCAGACTGCAGAACACAAATTTACAAAGATGAAACAAACTGAGCACTCGTTCTCGATATCTATGATGCAGCTTTGGCTTTTCGCTTGCCGGCATTTCGTCCACCAGCGAAGCCGCGCAAGAAAAAATCGACATCATTTCGAATGGCCTACTAAGGATGTGAGTTTGAGTAGACTTGCTACATTGGCTTCGCGATTGGGCTTTAAATCTGAACAAATTAGCCTGCTTCAAAACAACAATTTGGGACAACTTATGGCACAAGGATTTTTTAAATCTCTTTGCAGGGAGGAGTTCTACGAATACAAGGAGTATAAAGTGCAATCAATGTCCAACAAACTTCAGAGCTTTTTGCAGAACCTTCCTAGGTATGTGGAGGAGGAGGATGCTACTGCCCAATTTACGACAAACGACCCAGAACTCGAGGCGAGCCACAGATTTAACAGCCCTACGCGAGATGAGTATGATCGGCAGCGCAAACATATGTTTGCCAATCAATTGTTCGGTCGAGATCAGCCACAGTCACAATATGTAACGTCACTCGGTGTGACAAAAGACATTATAGGCTGTTTCTTCGGAAAAACTCTATTTCAACAACTCTGGGAGCAAAATTCTCTCCAAAGCTCCTATAGTCCTGAATCTATGGAGGTAGACACAGCGGGTTCTGCTGAGGAGCGCCCCGCAGTTCACCCACTAAACTCACCGCCAGTGGAAGTGCTCCAATCGTCTATGCACTCACCACCAGTGGAAGTGCCCCAATCGTCTGTGAACTCCGGACTAGATGTGATAAAAGACGACGACCGCACATTAGAACTTGACAACCACCCAAGTGGAACCCCCGATCGTGATGCACCACCGTTGGCAGCTGGCTTTGAGGAAACATCTCAACAAATGGAAATAAAAAACTACTTATCGACTAATCGGACGGTTTCTGAGATGCTTTCAGAGTGGTATCAGTCACGCCAAGAACTGATTCTTGTCTACCTTTTCGAATCACGAATTTACTACAAATTTTTCTTGGCTGGTGGATCAAACCTACGAGCAAATCTCCGAGACCTTGCTAGGAAACATGTTCTCATGGTGGCCAATGAGCATGAACTAGTAAACCCGGATATGAACGAAGTGTATGAAGCAGCTTTGAAACATCGGTTAGTACTGGTCGCGAAAAAAGACAATCCGAGCCATGAAAGAGAGCTAGAAGGGACTATCTCGTTAGATAAACTCCGAGAGTACTTTCTTAACTACGATATCCATACAGGAAAGAGAAAGGCAGATTCTACAGCCAATCGATCTGGCAAGCGTCACAAGGATGGACACCTTTCGATCGATTATGAAGAGGAGCTGTAATATTATGGCAGGTTGATTCACATAAGTTCTTTCTCCTGTCATCCCGCTTGAGAAAAGTGGGATAAAAATTTTCCCCCAGGGCGATTTTTGTCTTGTGAGCGCTGTCACAAGACAAAGTCAGTCCTATAAGCGCCCTATCACGGCAAGGGTTATAGAGGAAGCATTGTCTTGGAGACCCTGTCCAATAAGCGTAGTAGACTTATCACCGCCTTTATATTTCAGTGGGATTTATAAGAAAAATAAGATAAGCTGAAGTACGCCAAGTGAATTTCACAGACTCGAAAACGTTCTTATAGGCTAAAACCCAATCAAATTTCTTCTGATTCCTCTACAATGTCTTGTATAATAGGCCTTAATGGCCCGTTTCCTTCATAGGAAGCTACGGTAGACATGGCAGATGAGAGCTTCTTATGCCTTTCAACGCTTCCAAGTCTTTGAAGGGCCTTGTTTTGATCATATGAGATTATATATATCGTTTGATTGCCCTCGCTCGCTGCTCGAAAACACTGCGCAGGGCTTAGACTCTGTAGGTCCTTGTCGTATAGGCTGAATTCCTTCCGTATGTACTTTTTAGCTGTGCGCTCCACCCGAGATGTGTCTGATGCGCTAACAGCTCTGAATATATCTGCTTGTGCCCACGTACCATGCTCAAAGGAGCAGAAGTAAATGTCAATAGCCTCACCTGAAGAGGGAGGGATTGATGGAGAAACAAGGCTGCGGTCATTGATCTTCGCAAGTCCAATTTGAGCTGCAGCTAGAAGGTCAAGCTGGGTGTGATGTGGCTGCTCTTCAGTTCCTATCACAGTAGGTGGTCCCGAATCGTCCGATATTTTAGAAGAATAAATGGATGGAGAGTAAGTTGCGTATCGATCTCCTTGGTTTGATGCTGGCTCGTGGTTGGTGGACGCTGACGACTGTATCTGCGGAATATCTGGAAGACCCTCTGGACGAGCGGACCAGGACCTGGTGCCGGTAACTCCAAGTGGTGATGGATCAGAAACGCTAGTATCGGGAATTCCTCCAGGGAGAGAAAGGTCTTCAACAGGCAATTCTCTATCTTCTTGTCCCTCAGGTAGTGGAGTATCTCGGTGCATATCTTGATCTACGTCACCGATGTGTCCCTGCCCGTCCAGCAACTGAAAATCATGCAATTTGCCAAAGAAGGCAAGATAAACACACCGTCTAACAAAGAATGTTGTGATGTTGTCAAAGACTGGTAAGCTCACAGTATGTATGTTGTCTAGAAACAGAAAAGGACTGTCCTGTTTATGTGTCTTCAACTGTGGCATTCCGCAGCGGGCACGAGCTTCAACGGAGCTATCAGCTAGAAGAATAGATGGACGTTCGTCTTGCTCCACGGCCGCAGAAAAACATTCGACTACCTTTGTGACAAGCGATTCAAGTTGATGAGGATGATACTCATAGCGGTCAGGCTTTCGAGCCTGTAGTAGTGCAGCCAAAGCAATCTGACGGTCCGGGCATTGGGCTAACAGTTCCTGTATCTCAGTAGATTCAAAACCGAGACGATGGGCCAATTCAGCCATTTCGTATAGGATCTTTTTATCTGCTTTCGCACGATCGGGCTTAGCCAAAAGCTCATCGTTTTTCTCTGATACTCGGGGCATTAAAAAGTAATTGCGCATAGCATATAGCCAAAGCTGCCGATAGCCTAGCTCAAAGGACTTTATGTCTTCGAGCCTTGTGCGACGGAAGCATCTCGCGGTTGTCTGAATGAAACATTCCCGTTCGCCTTCTGAGGATGGTATGAACATGCGCTTCATGGTCTCCCATATTGAGGTCACATGAGGGCCTAACAGCTGTTTCACGCATTGTACGCAGCTTTCCAAGAATTTGAAGTCTTCAAAAAAGGTATACAAAGATGGGATCACCCCATCAAACCTTTCGAGCTGGCTCCATATTCCCTTTCTCTCGCTTTCCTCAAATCCCGCGAACGCTTCCCCCTAGAACAATCCCGCGGATCAAGTTTGCGTCCTTACGCGAGTTTCCAGGAGCCCTTAGTTGTAAACAGCTGACTGCATCAGGTCCAATCTTTTTAAGCGAGTTGTAGTCTCCGTTAACAAAGTACAGGTAAGATTCATGAATGTGATCGAGGTAATGAAGGACTTCCTATTCACGAATAAGATTGAACTTCAGAATAGAGGGTAGCAATTTCGATTTTCTGAATACTCACTTCGTTAACAGCAGCCGCAATCACGCGATGAAACATGCTAATTCTCAATCCGTCAAGCACCACAGACCTCTAATTTGTAGCAATTTGTCGAGGCCCTGGCGCAATCGACGATTTCTTTTGTTATCAAGCTGATCTAGACGCATTTGCTTGTTCTTTGACAAACGCACAAACCATCTTTGTCGAGAATTCTCGTTCTGCTCAGCTTCGTATTGTCGGACACGCCAGTAAATTTCCCCATCTGTAGGTGCTTTCTCATTTGAGTATTCTTCAACTAACGATTGCCTAAGATCTTTGCCAATATCTCCATTACGGTGATTAGTTAGAATACACAGGCAAGGGTTCAATAGTCATACGGTTGAGATAAAGGTCAACTGTCCACCACCTTTCCACGGGTGCTAGAAGTTCAGACCCTACTTGTAAGCGATGTCGGCCGTGAAGTGCTTTTAGCTGTCCTTTTTCAAACTTCAAAGTCGGAATTTGTTCGCCCGAATTAAGAAGATCATGGGAACGGATTTGCGCTCGTAGTACTGCTGCCTCAAAAGCATCCTGAGATACAATAGCCGGGATAAAGTGGTTCACTTCAAACCGGCGACATCCTTGCTTGCGAAAGATACCGCGAAGTCGCTCCAGGTTGTCTAAGTCCAAATCCTGAGGTAAAGGTGGCTCGAATTCAATTTCAGCAATGTTGACTTTCACTGTACCTAGATATTTGACTCGACGTTCGCGAGCGACTTGCATCTCATTGTCGGTGAAGATAGTGCGCTGCATCGTGATACGTAAGCCCACGACTTACCACATTATCATCACGTAGAATAGATGCGGGTCTATTGTTCCTTATTTGAAGTTTAGACTGGTACTGTCGCACCTTGGTCGGCTCACTGCGGTCAGCTCTCTGTGGTCAGCTCTCTGTGGTCAGCTCTCTGTGGTCAGCTCTCTGTGGTCAGCTCTCTGTGGTCAGCTCTCTGTGGTCAGCTCTCTGCGGTCGGTTCTCTGCGGTCGGTCCTCTGCGGTCGGTTCTCTGGCGTGTTTTTGTGATCCGTTTGGTCGGTTCTCGGTTCCAACCTCATGGTGGCATTCTCGTCATATATATATTCATTCATTGAATCTTGCGCAGAGCACGCTTTTTTTTTCATAATACGCCTCCGACAAGCGAGGTTCATTGGTCCGAGTAGACCTCCGCACCGGCCCACAAAGCCCATAGCCCAACCCACCGCAGCCCATAAATGGGGCGGGTTTTGGGCCTGGCATTAGGCCCACTGGTAGGCTATGGGCCTAAGGTAGAAGCCCAATAGGGTTTAATGGGCCCCCAAATGGGCCCCAAACATTGCAAACATGCCAATTCTTGGCATTTGCATAAGTTATGTAGACCTTCCTAGTAATTTTGAGTATTACAATTACCACCTGAGGCCCCTAATTGACTGAGATCTCATGGAAATCGACGCAATTCACTGATTTATGAGATTGATGAGATTAACTGATGAGATCAACTGATGAGATCGATTGATTAGATCCCAAGAGGTAAAACTATCTACATGCTAATAATGCTCATACAAATCATCCTCAACATGCCTCCTCTTCCTCCCTGATGTCCGCACTTGAGACGGTGCCGCATGAGACGGTGCCGCAGCGATAGTAGCATCGTCATCGTCATCGTCAACATCTATCAGATCACCGGATCTATCACCCTGCTCTTCAGCATCACTGATCGCATCAACGTCGACGACAGCTAGCACCTCAGCTGGCTCCTCGGCATCATCACCTGGCTTTTGAGCCGCCTGAGCCTCCTCCACCAGGATCTGAATCTCATCAGAGCCAAAGAACTGCTCAAATTCCTTCGCCTCTTGCACTTCAAGATCAAACCTTGACGTACAGAGGTACAACATCAGCTCTTCGATAGTTTGCGCCTTCAAAGAGCCCCGGCGATAGTGGCAGATATCGCGTGCAGTGTTAAACAGACGTTCAACTCCAGCACCTGTGGCTGGAATTGCAAGGTAATCTCTTGCAAGTGCGGCAATAGCAGGGAAGCGATATTGATTCTCTCTCCAAAAGGAGAGCGGCTCATCAGATATAGTTAAACCTGTAAGAAATTAGTATCATGAAGATAGGGATGGTTTTTCGGCCGAAAAACCATCTCTCAAGAAAGAATAAACATAGAGATTATAACAGGAATATCCTGTATAGCTAGGGAAATACAATGGATGTACTAGGCGATTGGCGCAACGGAATCAAAAAGGGGAACTACCCAAAAATGATGAGATTAAAAGAGTGTTGATTCCTGTCTCCTATCTACTGGGATCGAGGGGGTTAAAATAGCCTCGAGAATACCTGGTATCGAATCCTCTAGAATCCCAGAGGTACCGTTTGGGTCAATACGATGCTGATCACCATTTTCCTGACACACCCCCTCAGCAAGATCCTACTGTATGGGGATTTTGCTGTACAAATGAATGGACGAGCTCAATTGAACTCTTCAACAAGATGACCAATCTCTTCCATACCAAGCAACTTCACAAATTCAACGTGCTTCTGGCGAGGAAGGAGCTTCGTAAGACCATCTGCGACCATCTCAGAAGTCTTTACCCATTCGATAGGGATTCGTCCAGCTTGTACCTCTTGACGTAGCCAATGCTGGTGAATGTCAATGTGTCGCAGCTTGGTGTGCAATTGAGGCAATTCCTTCGTCAAAAGCCCTATAGTTTGCTGATTATCACATTGCAAAGCGACAGGGTGACCAGGATTGAACTTAATAGCGTCGAAAAGGCGCTTCCACGTGAAAAGAGATTTGCCTGCTTCTGACAAAGCCAATAATTCTGCTTCAGTAGTGCTTGTGGTAACAGTCTTCTGTTTCGAGGCCTTCCAATCGACAGGTCCTCCAAATATCATACAGATATATCCAGCAGATGATTTGCGATCTGGATTATCACCGAATGATGCATCACTGAAGAATTGAACGGATGGTTCAGGAGGGATTGACTGCTTCTTGAAGCAAATGGCCCTCATCCTCGTATGATAGAGAAAGACGATGACAGAATTGATAGCATGAATATGCTCTGGCGAAGGATTTGCAAGGAATTGAGCAAGATGGGCAGTGGCCTTGGCCGCATCTGGGCGAGTGACAATTGCCGGGAATTGGGTAGATCCAACCTTGCTCATGTATTCGTGTTTTTGGGCATCCGAGGCAGTGCCGTTATACGGTTTCAATGTGGCAATGGAGACTGGAGGAGTATCAATGCGTCGTTCCTGGGTCAAATGATATCGGTGCGCCATTGCTGAGATATAAGCATCCTGGCATAGCCAGATTATGCCTTTTTGGCGGTCCCGAAGGATACGAATGCCTAAAAACCACTGTGCTTCACCCATAGAACGCAGCTCCCAGGCATCGCTGAGGCCTTTGGCAACATCATCTGCCTCCTCTCGTGCATCTCGTGGGCTCACAATAAGAATGTCATCAACATAAAATACGACAATAATGCTATTCCGGACGAACATGCAGAGATCTTCCTGCACTACCTTGAATCCGAGTGCAGTCAAAACCCTTGATGCTTCTCTCTGCCACATCCTTGGCGATTTGCGAAGGCCATACAGGGCCCTCTGAAGCTTCCAACACCTTCTTCCTTTAGGAAACATACCAGGTGGGAGCTCAACATAGACCTCCTCGTCATCCTCAAGCTTGCCGTTGAGAAATGCATTAACAGCATCATACTGACGAATATCTAGGTCAAAATTCGCGGCAAAGGCAAAGATAGCCCGCGCGGTTCGCACTGCTAGTGTAGCAGAATACTTTTCCTCGGTCGACAACTTCTGGAGATCTCCGCGGACACAGATTCTGGCCTTATACTTGACCAAGTATCCGCACCAACAACTCCCGGTCTTGAAGTCATCGATCCTCGGATCCTCAAGCCTATTGAACCTTACATGGGAGATGAATGCCCGCCTTACAACCAAGCAACTGTTCAGCTGGACCCGCCCGGTTTCTCTATGGACGAGTTGGCGGCAAAGAACGAACCCTACACTTGCCCAAAGCTGTCTAAACGATCTAGCGAAGATTGTGCCAGCAAAGAAGCAAATGAAAGGCCAAGCAAGGCTTTGCGACCAGATACTCTCATCTCCCCCAGCAATCAAAGGCCGAAGCTTAGGCGTGAGGAGCACCATCATACACAGGCAGAATCCGACGACAAAACCCTTTCTGGTAATCAAGCCTGTGTCCCGCTCACTCGAGCCAAGTCAAGATCACAGTCACCGCTCAATAATCTGGGTGATCTGAGTACTCGCAAACTCCGTCAGAAGCTTAATACAAGAGAAAAACGAAAGCTGCTAGAGCTCAAGGGCCAAAATCTGACCTTGAGGCAGATTGGGCTCCACTTTGTAGACATAGATACGGCCTTTCTGCGACAGGCCTGGAAGGATTTAGAACTTCCTCAGCGATGCACCAGATCAGGGTCTAATCGGATGGCCCGTCGGAAATATGCTCGCTAAGTGGTTTATGTAACTCGAGCACTACGCTGTGTGTCAATTGTAGTCTATTTGTACATAACTTACTTTTCATAAATAATAGAGACCCAACCCTTCAACAAACCTCTGTCTTTTAAGGTCACAATGACACTACCCAAGACTCCAGCGAAAGGTACTTGTCGCTAACGAAAACCAAAAAGATGAAAGATCTTTGTTACATCCTCCAGAGCCAGCTTTGCTGGAAAATCTTCTGTCAGAAAGTTAGCCGTCATTCGTGCTAGACTTGAAGCTGAAGAGGTTCGTTGCGTAAAATCGTTACGGTAGCGAGTGCGAACGCAGCGTGTTCTGGCGAAAACTGATTACAGCCAGCATGTCACAAATCAAAACACCGTTACATTACTAGTACGTTGTTGCACCGCCACACTTGACATGGGCTTGACTTAGGAGGTATTTTACCCAATGTAATGTAACGTAACTGTTATGTTTTCGTTTGTATGATACAGAATTTGTCTTTGGCATCATCTACTTACTGCCATCGAGCTTTTCATATTCTTAATATTCTTCCGAGCCGACAAAATTTCGAATTGTCGTCGTTATCACTACTTAACCATATTAATAGAATCAGATTAGCTAGAGGAAAGCTTCTTATCCAAGATCCGACAAAAGCATATCGGTCAGTGCTAGCCTGTCCAGATATTCTTTGATACTTTGAGAGTAGGTTGTTTGCTTATAGGAGCCAATGGTAGGTGCTTTATATTTCCTAGTGGGGCTAATTATGATCGGTTCCTGGGAGCAAACGACGCCCCAATTTTGACATTTTGGCCTGTTCATGAGCTTCTGGAAGGAACCTTGGTTCGTTTTTAAGAATAACCATAGCCACCATAAAGCGTTCAGTGGAAGCTGGGTTGGAAACTGTATGCACGGTCGTGCATATTACTCCTAGGATGGATGGATTGCATGCGTTGTAGGATTATGTGTGCGTTGAATTTGGTGTGCGTCACCCTTTGCCTTAATAGTAGTAAACCATTCCCAGCTTTCAAAATGAGCTATAGTATAAGAACAGGTCAAATCCCCATAGATAGTGTAGTATCAAAATTTCTACCGGAAATTGCAATTATAACAAACCGGCTCTTTCTTTTACTCTTTTTGCCTTGAGTACTCAAATTCATCCCACGCCCATTTCCAATTTTGAGATATGAGAAATTTTCTTCTGGCCTTTGATCCAGCAAGTAAGAGACAAGATCAGTGCACTTCCGGTAGCACGTTACTCAAAAGCTAGAAGTATAAATATCGCGATCATAAAGTCATAAATATTTTCTTCTGTTTGTTTCTTCATAACTGGGTGTAACAAACGGGTTGGGTTTTCGTGGGCGGGTTTGGCGAGGCCTACCCTCATGTGAGCGTCTCGCTGACGCCTACACCATCTTGAAGAGAACATGAAGGAACACAAGAAAAAGCGCGAGCAACGGCGCCCATTCTTGTGGTAGCCGGCGAACTGTGCGACGTAGCATGCTGAGCACGCCTTCCAGTCTGGATTTGGTGGCTATGGCTATCGTGTGCCTCTCTTCAACTGGGGCCGCGCTCAACCGGCCATGCAAAGCCTCCTTGACCATGGCCATCACGAAGGGTTGGGGCGACGTGCTAAACATGTAACAGCGACTGGTATAGCGCAGCTCTTCAATGATCGTAGGGTCTCCGGCCAGATAACCGCCCGGCAGGCTGAAGGCCCTGTAGAATGATCCGCAGACCAGAATCCGGGCGGAAAGGATCTGAGAGAAGAGGATGAGGTTGACGGCGGACGCAATCCCCAGCTGGGATGGCCCCAGACGCCCTAGTCCGTTGGTGTCATTGAGGAGGACCGTCATGCCTTGGTTCGCCCCTTTCTTTGCCGCCAGTTGTGTTGCGAGAGCCATCAGATCCATGTAGCCACCGTCGGCCACCGGGTCCAAGTAGAGTGTGAGATACGTCGCACTGCGCCCTGACAGAGCCTCAAACAGCGGGACCAGGGCATCTCGATCAGCGTACTTCAGGCAGACGGTTTCCGAGTTCTTTGAGGCCACCCGAAAGCCTTCCTCGGCGTTCGAGGGCAGATTCGCGGGGACCAGAAAATAGTGTCGTCGACAAGCCATCACAGGACGGCACAAGCCAGCAATGGTCGACATGAGGCCCAAGTCGGAATCAGGGTAGGTCAGCGCGGCCGGCTGCCTTGTCAATTGTGCTGTGAGTTCTTCGACCTCGAGATGTTGTGGGAAAGTGCCCAGAATCCACCGAGAACTGCCTGACCCGAGACCGTACACCTGGCGGGCAGCATGGCCAGCGGCAATCTCCGCCGCAGAGATCCCGGAACACTGTGTCGCCACCGGCTTCTCAATCTGCTGCTGCAGCACGCGGCTGAGGTCCGCGTGCGCTTCTTGAGCCTCCCTCTGCAGCTCCCGCATGTCAACCGGGCTCGGAGCAGCGGCGCACACGAATCCGCCTAGTCCGCCGACTGCCTTGGACAGGACAGCGCTGCGAACGTCAATCACATCGTCAGGGACCAGAGCTTCGGGGTGTTGGTCGTTCCACATCTCCAGACAGCCTCCTCCGGTTTTCTCCATCGAGCCGAACGAGTGTGCTTCATCCGCATATAAGGTGAAGTTGAATATCTTCTTGAGGAAATACAGGCGATCCAGCGGTGGGATGGTCCCATCCATACTAAACCCAAGGGAGATGGCGTTAGTGGTTACTCGAGACAGATTTGCACCGCAGGCGGGAAGGAAGGTAGCTCACCTGTAAAGACCCTCCACAACCACGATAATATCAGATTGTTTCCCTTGAGTTGAGTCCAGGATGGACTGTAGGTGCGCCATGTCATTATGCCGGAACCTCTTGCGGGCTCCGGCTCGGGACATGTACGACGCCGTGAAAATCGAATTGTGGCATTTCTCGTCCATCACGATGAGCGAATTGTCTCGAGCAATGGCCGGTATCCCGAGGACGTTCGATTGGTAGCCGGTCGTCGTTGTGTAGCAACAGTCAGCGTTGAAGAATCTCGTCAGACCGTCGACCATCCTTTGATTGAGCAATGGGACAGCCTCAGCATCCGCGAAGGGCAGATGGTCCAGGCACTTCCGCTGCAGCTGTTCATCCTTTGGCGACAGTTCATACAACCCGGCGTAGTTGTGACTCCCGCCGTTCAACACCGAATGGTTCTCTCCCTGCATGCTCACTCGCCCGAGGGATTTCGAGGCCACGATCCGCTCGTTTCGCCCATGCCAACGGAATAAGGGATCCACGATGTAATGATTGAAGCGGCCAATTTTAGTCAAGGGGTCGTAAGGATTCTTGCCCTCTTTGAGCCGCACCTGGAGGTAGCTGGAAGCAAACGCAACGGCTTCTTGCAGCATGGCCAAACAGTAGCCGTGAGAAGGGCTTGAGTGACTTACCTGGGAGACTGAGGGAGAAGCTGCCCGCGGAAGACTGACGGCTGTGCTGTCTGCAACGTTCATTCTATCTGGACAGAGCTAGTCTTGTTGGGGTTGCAGTGGTAGAATCCAAGTGCCACGACAATTTATCACGCCTTCGCGAGTTTGCCGTAATATAAACTTGATTTCCCTTCAGGGACAGACGCTAGCGCAATCCCATCTGGATGCGCGATTTCCTTACATCGCGGTCGACATGTCTCCGAGCCCTATTGTGGTTAGGTCGTCCAGTGTGTCGGCTTCGGTTTCAGAATATTTCCTTCCGTGATAACGGGGCCTCCCTACGGTCCCAGGCTACGGTAGCCTGAGGGATAATTCAGGGCATCGTAGCCTGCCAGCCAATAGGTCCTTTGTGGGCGCATCTCGTCAAATTGATACGCAGTAGACATCCGGCGTCCCGCCAGGAGTTGGATGGACACATGTCGCTTAGTACTGGAGGAGGCCTAGCGCCCTCCTGGATACTAATAGCGCCAGGGGGAGGCTTCTATGCGGTTGGAAATCTGTGCTGAGCGTGTGCGGAAATGCAGGCCAGTGAGTGATATATAAAACCAATTAGAAGCATAGGCCTCTTTAGTCTGAGAAGCCAAGGACAGACTGGACGATCGGCCCCGAGGAGCAGTTAGACATGTGGATATCTTCAGATCAAGCCATTGGCTCGTCCATTGGCGCACGAACTTAGTTTTGTTAGTGCGTAGTTAAAATGACTCACCGGGATAACGGCACAGTATCAGGTAACTGTGTTCATACTTGTCTACGCAAGCTGGAGTAATCTCCCGCATCAAAGAAAGCCGGCCCATACGAAATCTCGAGAATTTCCAGGGGTCGGTTCGGGTTAAGTCGCTTCGACCTTACGCGATGCGAGAGGAAGTAGTTTTATCCATCTGTCCATCCATTTCGAGGGTGCGACCCGACCCCTTGATGCACAAGTTCGCAGCTTGCGCAAATGCCCCATTCTGTACGTCACTATGAATCCCTCAGTACGCGGATGCAGCGAAAATGATTCTACTCCGTATTGTACAGTGACTACGCAAAAGTCTTAAACACCCCTCGAGACCCACTTATCAGATCGCCTATATGAATAATCAATTGCCTCCCTTAAACGCGTAGCGTAGCTAGATATTTGGGGTTTTCCTACTGCAGAATCTTATGTACTTATGGAGGTGTGGGGCCAGGGGATGTTAAAACTTTTGCGTAGTGACTATCATCCTTGTCGAAATTTCCGAAATAAAGCCTCACAGAATTATGCGACTTCGTGCCCTAACCCGATCTGAAACCAACGATGCCTTTTAATTTCCCGAGCTGCTCTTCTTGTGGGAGTTATAGTTCTCTTCGCCCATTTTTCTATATAACTTGTTCAAAGTGTCAGGAACTATTGACCTGGTCTGCAGTAACAGTCTCTGCCAGACTGAGCTGTACTCTACAGCCCCAATCTTGTCAACCAGATCAAAAGGGAGAAAATCAATTCACCTTTGTTCTTTCTTTCTTCCCCCCACTCAATACCCGACAAAATGACCCAAGATTTGGCTCCTCATCTGACGCCTGGAAGGGCGGCTCTAGGCGTCTTGGGCGTACTACTCATTTATTATTGGATGCAAAAGTTCCTGATATCTAGAAGAATCGCTGCTCTGGGTTCCAGGGCACCCATGATTCGAACGTGTCTCCCGTTTGGTGAGTTGAACTTGTGCTATAATTGAATTTTACCCTCCCTATCAACCCATATGCCAACCCTACCACACCATCCACGGTGATCATAGAATAGTGCAAGAACGCGCTTTTCTCACACAATCCCACTCCGATACCAAACACAATAAAACACATGAGTACTGACTTGCAAACCAGCAGTTGACTTCGTATACGGGTACATACAAACTACTCAAACAGGGCAAGATCTTGACTTCTGGGACACTGCTATGCGAACTGCCCGAGGAGCATCCAGATTCAAAACATCTCCAGCAACAGTGGAGCTCAACTCCGGCTTGTCTCGCAACCTCTTCACAGCAGACCCAGAAAACATCAAAGCTATTATAAGCAGCCAGTTCGCAGACTATGGCAAGGGCAAGCGATTCTACGAAGATTGGAAAGAATTGCTGGGCAATAGTGTTTTCAGCACGGATGGTCAACTATGGGCGCATTCACGACAGCGTCTCCGGCCAATGTTCACGAAAGAGCGCATCACGAACTTGGAGAAGTTTGAGACATATGCCCAAAAACTCATTACTCTCCTCCATGGAAGTGATTTGCCAAACCGGGTAGTCGATATTGTGCCACTTTTCTTCCGCTATACCTTGGATACTGCCACGCACTACCTACTTGGAAAAGCCGCAAACAGTCTGGAAGATCCGGGGACAAGAATCGTAGAGGCTATCGCGTATATCATGGCCCGCCAGGAAGAATTCTTTAAAATGGAGTAAGTCTACTTGAACCCCCTGGAGACAAAGGCATTTAATTATACTGACCTCTCTGCAGCGACTTCGCCCGGCTTCTGTCACGTACAAAGTTCCGCCAAGAACTCAAGGTGATCGATAATTTCCTCCAGCCATATATTGATGAGGTCCTCTCTCGCTCAGCAGAAGAGTTGGATCCAGCCTACTCGAAAACAGATACATTCCTCGATGCTCTGGCAGGGTCCACTCGAGACGGCCGTGACATCCGTGATCAATTGCTGGGTATTCTCATCGCTGGACGGGATACTACGGCCGTCACCCTCTCCTTCGCCCTCTTTGAATTATCCAGAAACCCAGACATACTAGCCAAGGTCCGTTCGGAGATAGCCGCTAAGTTTGGCGTTGGACCCAACAGCCGCAAGCCCACCTATAATGGTCTGAAGGACATGAAATGTCTCCAAGCCGTTCTGAACGAAACCATGCGTCTATATGCCGTCGTTCCTTTGAATTATCGCCATGCCCTCCAAGATACCACCCTTCCCCGCGGCGGGGGTCCGGACGGACTCTCCCCGATTGGTGTTCTTGGAGACACCCGTATTATCTTCTCAATTGGTCTCATGATGCAGCGTGAGGAGGTGTACCCTCCTCCTGGGTCCGACAACTATTTTGACCCTAAAACATGGTTGCCGCAGCGCTGGTGGTCCGGCTGGCAGCCGAAGCCTTGGGAGTTCCTCCCATTCCATCGTGGTCAAAGGACCTGCATCGGGCAGGAATTTGCATTCGTTGAGATGCAGTACACAATTATCAGAATTTTGCAGGTGTATAAGGAGATTGTGGCTTTCCCGGCATGCGGGAAGGAGAAAGTGGAAGACCCCACCGTCAGATTCGAGGTCACACTCAGACCTGCGTGCGAATTCAATTGTTTATTTCTAAAGGAAGGGGAAGAAAACAAGATTCTGGCGTTCGACTCACTCGCGGGATAAAATGCGGGATCTGATATGGGTAATCATAATCAGTAGTTGGACTGCAGATTAAAACGCGGGCATAAGGGCAGAGAGAGGCATGATGTTGATAAATAATAAAATGCAACCAGCGGTTATTTGGGGAATCGACTGAAAGTACAATATCAACGATACTGTTCCACGACACTTCTCAGTAGAATAAACGAGAATAGACACATAGTCTGTGAGACGTTGAAGTTTTCCTGGAGCATACCGCGTGTTGATTAGAAAAACAGCTAGCTGAGTTCAGACCTGAACAAGATAAGCAAACCCAAGTATGTGTGGCGGGTGATGCTGAGGGATTGACGGGCTGCTCATTTCCGTGGGCCTCAAGCTCATATTCGCTGGGGATAAGAAACGGATGCCCTTTAAGAAATGATACTATAGAAATTAGGTCGGGCTCCAGTATCCGAGAAGGTCTATCAGAGAGTGTGGATGCAGGCTACTACTGAGTCTAATGGACGGTATGTGCACTGAATATTAGTTATAATAATTGAATAATTGAATGGAATTTTTGGTGTGGCAGAATAATTGGAAAGAAATAGCGGTGACTGAGAAGGATAACAGACACTGTGCTGCCTATTTTGATCTAGTGGCACTCTCAGCGAAAGTAAGAGATACGCTAACCACATTTGACATCCAGTTCTCCAGCTCATACTACGTCTGTGTGGTTCTTTACCATGACCGAATTCGCAAATTCTTTAATTGAGATGAAGCTGGAGATTGCACTTCTTTCACTGTGTCCAACAAGAAAATGTATGAATCAATCGGTTCGTTTATTATTTTCGACCATGCGGTACTCAGATTTCTGACAATCGTTCCCAGCGGACCTACAGGTCCCGGAGTGAAAACATATGCTCCGAGGAACGAGAGGTGGTACCATGGGAGCTTTGGTTACTATTTCTGGGAACTATTATGAGGGTCTTATGCTATAGAGGTGAATAGAGTCTCGAGTGAACAATCCCAAAATAACAGGACGTAGTGCAAATGTGTGATTGGTTCAATGCTACTCCTTTCTCCACCTTGGAGTAACTACATCTAAGGGCCATTGCTTTCGTACTTCACTATTTCGCTAAAATAGATGAAAATTCTGCTATGACTAGGCTATTGTATGGCTAGCAGTTCATGGATTTTCCCCGCTGTCAAAGATTGAAAATCTTCCTCCATTGCTGTGTTGGGCGGTGGAAGTCGGGAAGGAACAGTCGTGGGGTGCCGACGCTATTTTTGTTGCGTACATTGCGCTAAGTCAGAACGGGTAGGACGAAGCCTAGAACCTGCCTCCCAAATTTGAAGGGTGAATGCAAGCACCTGTTGTCTGTTCATAAATTTGCCCGGGTTACTCAACACTATGCCGAGGTTGACTCGAAGTGGATTAAACACGACCTGCTCGGTCAAATGTTAGCCCCTTACGTGGTTTTGCACTTCTTTCCCTGCTTCTGCTAACTCTTACTCAGAGCGGACCCTCCGTGTTTATTTGTTTACCGGGATTTGTTCACTTGGGCTGAGGATCTGGCACAGAGAAGCTAAACATTGAGAATGCCACACCAACTTTGTAATCGGACCAACTAAAATTGTCTTGGGCGAACATTAGTTGAAACGAAGATGACCTTGAACAAGCATTATCTTGAACAAACATTATCTCGAACGAAGATTATCCTAGACGAACAGTACCTTGAACGGACAGTATCTTGAACGGACAGTATCTTGAACGGACAGTATCTTGAACGGACAGTGTCTTGAACGAACAGTATCTTGAACGAAGATTATCCTAAACGGACACCCTCTTGAACGAACATTACCTTATACGGCGTAGTTTTTTAATTATGCTGGAAGTTACTGTAACCAAAAGCAGATTGTTAAGATTTGCCAGAATCGTTCAATCCCTCTGAAGCCGAAACAGAAGCAAAAAGATTGCCTGTTTCAAGTTCCTTTATAGCCCATTTCCCGTTGCCGATGTCGGTCGATTGAAGTTTGCCGCGCTCCATCAACCCCTGCACTTCAGATTATCCACTTTCATTTTGGCCACAGAAATATTCAATCCAACCCCTCAAAGTAACCCTATTCGTTTCGAACTGCACCCAGAAGCTTACTCTCCAATGTGAAGCTTTCACAATCTCCCACTAGAGAAGAGTGCTTCAGATGCTAGGGAAAGATATCTTTCCACGTGATCGGAACATAGGTCGGCCGTGTAAGAAGGGGCTGAGTGTGGTGACCCATCCGTTACTCTCGGGTGAACGCCCGTATTGAATAGCCAGCCTCAAAGATTTTTTTAAAAAATGTACAAAAAACACGGAAGAAATTGCTACTTAATCAAAAGAACAGTTCTATATGGCTGAAAAGTGGAAAAGTAGAATATTGTGGACAGGAAATGCTTGGAGCAGGTAATTAGATGTTTGGTAACCAAATTGCATAAAAGAGTGTGGTGATTCGACTGGTAGTTACCCTGGTCAATTAGTTTCTAGGTGAACAACTATTATCTGGCCCTGACAACTTACATATTTGGTCATGCTCGATATCATGGGGCGGTTGGTGTTCAAAACTACTATGCAATATTTACCGACCAGCACGTATAGTCGAGCTTGTTCGAGAAACACAGTGGTGGAGTCTTCCCAGGACCCGGTATTCTCGGGTGGTGTGAAGTTATAGTTTAACTCAGTGATTTGCGGGCTGGGGACGACTAGGCTCCATTCAATTCCTGTTGCCCGAAATTGTCGTTGTCTGGCTAACCTGTTTCCTGGGCTGGGGCCAGCGCGGCGCTTCATTTCTCCGAGGGCCCTTCCGGCTGGCTTTGTCTTGAATTTCTCCGGGTCCAGACTGAACCACATCCTGGTCGGAGTCTTCGACCCAAAACCCAGCCCAGCCCGGGTCATATGTGGTCGTGCGGAAGTCTTGTCAGATTACTGTAGTTGCTACCTTCATCACCACCTTCAACCCGTCATGGAATCCTTTGCCGGGGTGCAGGCTTATGCAGGAACATCTGTGCGAGATGAAGATGAAAAATTTATTGTTAGATTGGCCAGATATAAAATACAAAATAGAGCCTTTTTACTGAATATCATTTCTATGCTAGAAAGTAGTGACGCGTATCAGAGAAGGACAACCCTTATAAGACTGTGGTTGGTTACAAATATTGAGGCATCGCACATTTGAATACACCGTTAGGCTACAGATACCTTTATGTGAAAGACAACTAATCAAGAAATCGCGTATTCATCCCCTGACAACGCACCACACCAGCTCACGAATCCAAAAGTATTTGCACAGTTCCATTCCCATGCCTGAGTCGCGCAATGCGGAGAGCTTGTCGCAGCTGCATCCTTTAACAAGACACAGTCGAAACCTTTACTGAACGCATCTGTCAGCGTCCCGCCGACGCACTGGTCCGTATTGACCCCCGTGAATAGAAGTGTCGTAATCCCTTCTTTCTTCAGAAACACCTCGAGATCTGTCCCGGAACCCCAAAGCGCGGACATGCGGTTCTTGTGGATCAAGACATCCGGATCTGTGGATCGCTCTAGTCCTTTTCGATATTCGGCATCTAGTGGTCTGTAAAGAGCGGCGTTCCACGTATCCCGCATCAAAACACGGCCCGCCCCAATGATAGTGCCGTCTTCAAGTTCGATCGGCCCTAAATCAGCGCCTAAACCCTTGTAAACGTTGTGACTTCGTTGCTTCTTTGGCCCGTTGTCGTTGTTGTTGACACCGCCAACGCTCTCATAGATGCCAAATGCCTTCATCATACCTGGTGGCATTGACTCAACTTCTTCGTCTGTCAGACCCCAGTTCACCCATACCACGCGGATGGCTTTCCCTCGCGCTGCAGGGATCCCCGTTTTCAGGAGCATATCAGCGGCTTTCAAGCCAGGGCTGGGATCCGGTTTGCCCAGCGCTGGGGAGAGGAAAAAGTTTTGCATGTCGATAATGAGCAGCGCGGTCGTTGCGGGGTCGACCCGAATGGGGTTCGTTGCTGTGTTCAGGGTGAGCGGACTTGCACAAGTTGAGTCTTTGCGCACAAGGTCCACTATCCCCGTGGTTGGATTGTAATGCCAATGGTTTTTGGGATCATTGCCGATTTGAGATGACTCGCCAGACGTGACGCCGGTTCTCGAGGTTGTAGTCGCCATTGTTGCTTCTGCAGCTGGCTTTAGTGAGGTTTGATAGTGACTTTTGTGTAGGCACCGTATAATCGCACAGAGTTGACCAAGCTCAGTTTGTCAATAGTGCAGCGTAATTTAGGAGCAAGAGATCCAAGTAGTGGGACCAACACGTTATATGACTACCAGGAATTGGGGGCTGCTACTGTCGGAGATAGTGCGGCAGTAAAATAAATAGTTTTATTTGTCGTGATTTTTATGCTTGTACTAGGGGATCCTCGACACTCCGAGAATCGGGACTTTCAACCCACTTTCCCTACCCATGTAAGCCAGGACACCCTGATGTGTCCTCTTTAGTTCAATTCACCATTTTTCTTTTGGATTGGTTCCCCTTGGTAGGCTAGCCCCATTCTTGCATAAAATGCCATACTGTATCAGCTGACTGTGACAGCTACTAATACAGGGTAAAGACCTGCCAGGAATATAGGGATCTGCATGGTATCTAATCGTATAGAATACTTACACAAATCTTGCACGCAATCATCTTGCGATACCCCCATTTTGGATTCCGCGTATCTTGCCTCCTCGGATCTGTAACATCCGAGTAACGGCAGTACCCATGGGTATTTCAACCCCCGTGAACTCTCGCTTGTTTATCCTTCAGTTAACTAGTTAGTTCTGGTATTGATTAGTCGGCAGATTTGTGCATGATTCTATTCGTAATGGGGTTTGGTATCCTGAAGTTAGACCCCGTTTGGGGTTTTACGGAAGACTAGTTTTCATGGTGTTATATTGGCACTACAAACTGTGTAGAGACTTTAATTTCGGCGGTTTTCTTTCAAGCAAGATGTTACAGATCAAGAGAAAGATCCTGGATCAAAGTGTACCATTCAACGAAGGTATCAAGGCTGGAGGAAAAGGAAGAGGAATCTATCTGGTGGCGTGATGCTTGATATGTGCCATGATAAGGAACGCATTCCCTTATCATCCCGATTCAGCCATGATTGTTTCCGTCGCCAGATCCTCAACTATTCGCGTCCAGACTGTCACACAAGAGATCTATGGAGGTGGTAATACTAATATTCCCGAACGTAGACTATCAACGTCAAATATAAATGTGTAGATCGCGTCCTAGCCGCGCATTTGTCTGTTTAAGGGAACCGATATATACGATCCATCCAGGGCTCGATGCACTCCACCGAAATTCCCTATTCCTTTTTGCTCTGTCATTTTGCCGGGGATCTGGCATTCTACTGCGCCCGCGATTTCTGACCCAAGCCCAACATCTGGAGAAACACATGCTTGAAGAATCTCCTTGTTTCGAGAATAGGAAGGATGCCACAGAGCGTCATTGCACCAAACACCCAAATGAACGAAATGATGACCCAAGCGGTGAAAAATGATCTCGAGAAAATGTAGTGCGACAGGAACATTGGGATGGGGATCAAGAAGTCCATGATGAAGGAAAGTACGAGAGATGTCACGACGGCGACAACGAAGGCGTTCTTCAGCTTCTTCGGGTCCTCAATAACGGCTGCGTCCTGGAGCACCTCCTTTTCCCCGGCCTGGGAGGTCGCCAAGTCGGGGTTTTGGCCGTCGTTTTTGCCGTCTGTCTGCACGACGAGAACAGACTGCCCGGTCTCAGGCGCATTGATTGCGCGAGTGACATCCCACTCAAAAGTATTGTCCGGCTTGATATAGGAGATGATAACTGAGAGGATCAGGCCGGTCAAAACGGCGGCCATGTTTCCTGCCAAAGTCGGATACGACCCGCCGGTGGTTGTGATATTCACTTCACCATAGTATACTTTAGCTTCGACGAGCCAGGCTGTGACGCCTGCAACAAGGCCGCCTAGAGCCCCACAAAGTGCTCCGAGCCGGGTTTGGCCTTTCCAGGTGATGGAGAAGGCTGCTGGGAACACCGCACCGCCAATAAGGAGCCCCATCGTGAGGAAGAGCCATCCGAGATCGATGCCGACGGCATTCCAGATACATGCGAACACAGCCATCACCACGCCAAAGACACAGATCATCACATGAGATACAAAGATCAGCTGTTCAGGTGTTGCAGAGGGTTTAATGTACGTCTTGTAGACGTCGAATGTGAGAATCGAAGAAACTGCGATGAGCTCAGAGGATGAGGACGATGTAACAGCCATAAAAAGAGTCAGAAGCAATGCCACAGCACCGTTCTTGCCTAACAAGGTCGCTGCGGCAAATGGTGCAGCGAGCCCCGCTGAGACCTGCGACGACGTCATGGGATTTGGGTACGTAGGGTACCGAGGGTTATCTGTGAGGGCTACCGCAGCGAGACCAAGGGTTGTGGCGAATCCAAATGGAATTGCGAACCAAGCCAGACCTCCCATGATGTAGGCCCGCACAGCGGTTGTTGGGCGGCTGGCGATCGCCCTCTGCCAGTAGCCCTGGTCAAGGAAGACAGTACCCAGCCCCGAACACAGCTGAATCACACCGAAAATAAGACCGTAGTTGGACTTCATTGTCAGGTATGAGCCATCCAGGTTACCGTCCACCGGTCGTTTCACCGCTGCAGTTTGTAAAAGCTCGAACATGGCGGATGGGGATCCTACGAGATCATTTGTCGAGTAGACGGAGAACATGAAGTAAAGAATGACGATCAGCATGATTACAGTGTGAGAATAGTCACCTGGCAGGTTTCTGTCAGCCTTATCCACGAACAAGCACGTCATTAATTCACGACGGGCGAAAAAAATGCTTACACAGAAAAGTCGCTCTCAAACCTCCGAGTACAACGTAGATGGAGACTCCTACTGGAATGAGGAAGACAGCCGCATAAACGTTCATGCCAGTAAGTGCCGTGACGACAGCGCTTCCACCTAGAAGTAGCTGGCTTGCCACGAGGATATTGGTTAATAATGCGAAAAACACAAAAACAAGATGGGTGGCAGCCCCATAACGGCGGTAAATGATCTCCAAGAAGGTGTGGCAGTATGGGGCATTCTGTTTAACCTTGCATGCAAGGACAGAGAACATGAAGATCTGGACTGTTGCTCCGGCAGCATCTGCAGCTCGAATATTTAGCGATCATATTGCGGAATGGCCAAAGGACATACTAACACTAATACAGGTCAGTATTGCATATCCCGGCATTTCTGAGAGTATCTTACCCAAAATGGACCTGCAATTCCATAGTCGTAAGCTACAGAGCTGCTTTGGAGCAAGGTAGCAGCCCAAGTCCAAGCAGACACCACTCCACTTGCAATCAGCCCAGGCTTGACACTTCTGCTGGCCGTATTGAACTCCTCGCTAGTTTTGGTTGAATATTGGGTGTATTTGTTCTTCAGATCGTTAGTGACATGATTAAGAATGTCTGCCTGCCAAGAGCGCTCCAACCTGAATGAAGGATATAAAAGCCATCAACACAGCGAAAAAGAATCCAATGCCCACAACCACTCCATATCCCGCTGCCTCGGGTAATATAGGGGTAGTAACACTTGAAGCCATTGTATTGTATGTGGCTTCGTTCCGACCTGCTTTCCTATCTCAAAACGAGAGCTTCAACTGATTGTTTAGCGGGAAGACGTTGGTATTATATAGAAATTAATTCTGCGCTCCGTTCTGGGGTAAGTAAAACAACTTCTTCGGGGTGCTACTGGCGGATTCGTCCAGATTAAATACAATCGAATTTCGGGGAAGTCTAATAACCTGCCTGAGTCGCGCTCGCTATCCATGTTGACAGACCACATAACCCCAACGCCCTTCGACATCTGAGGGCCAATATGAAGACCGACATCGGGGAGGGGCCTTCCTATGTGTGCAATACAAAATTCAATGTATGCCAATGCACTCAGCATTCCGGTCTGTTCCTAGTCTCTCCGATATAAGTTGCGTTACGGAAACAGGATGGTGGCTGAGGCACAACTTGAAGGACCCCAATCGTGTCGGACAAAGCTGAACTAACTGATTGTATAGGCTAGACGTGGGTAAAGATAACAACCCATATCTGTTTCACAGTCACTTTAGTCTCCGACTTGGAATCTGAAGTCCACGAAAGCAACCCCCGTTGGAAGCCTGCGCCAGCCAATAGTATCAAAATCGCATATCTGTCTCCTGTTCCACACGCCGATGCCCTTTAAACTATCGATGCAGACCCAGAGCCCCTTCAAGCCAGGTCTGCATTCTACATACATAGGTAGTCATCATGTCACACGCAGCGACGACCCTTAACCTATAGATTAACAGACAGGTCGGGAATCTCCACCATGTGCCTCTCCAACGGCAATAACTTATCTTCTCGGTCTCCAATCTCTCCAACATCTTTATCTGTCGGCATTTGATCTGTCGGTAACTTACCCCGAATCGTGTGTACAGACCTATTAGTGGGTGCGCCATCCCGTAATAAGTGGTATGCGCTTACCCGACTCCTCCCATACCTGATAAGCAACCGTCGAGCTCGTCGTCTTATCACACTGTTCAGTGGCAGAGATTCAGCAAAAGCAAGGCGAGATTCTCATTCACTCTTTCCACGATATGATATCCTGCAACGGTATTATCTAGCCGATGCCACGATCGATAAGAATTATAAGCGATGCCTCGCCAGCGTCGGTCCTTCGAGTTTGAGTCTAAGTTTGGACACGAAATGTGCTATGTTTCACTCAAGTATCTTTGGGCGTCAAGCCAAGTCAGCTCAGTACACATCTCATGTATTTCTTCGGTCAAGAGCTCATCCGATGTTCAAAATCCACTGGTACAATTTGCAAATTACAGATCGTTAACAAATGAAGAACTCGATACCGCACAAACTTTGGCATCTCGGTGAACATACTTCAGTGTCATAGGGTCTTCAAGCTATTCTTCTTATGCTCCTTCCAAAGCTGGGGCCACTATTGTAATGCTTTTGTTCGGAACAAGTGCATCTTGTTACCTTTGGCAAATGAGAAAGACAAAAACGTGATACTTTTCTGCTTTTCTCGTCGGTGCCTTCAGTAAGTACCTAACACGGACACCTTTAAATGAGAGTCAGTGAGAACACTGTAGTTTGTCTGAATTTTGTCTAGTTGCTAGAAATTCTTCACCTGCTTTTGTAACTGACGACGCTTTCTCTGGACTAATAATTCTTCCCCCGCAATGTGTCCCAATTGTTCATGTGAAAGGTTATAGACCCAGGAAGGGGAAAACAATTTCATCGGCGCTGCAGGCCCGGTGACCAAATAGTAATCTGCCGCTTGCATGCACATATTGTCCGTGAACCTCTTTCGAGCGACCTTGTAGTACGATTTCAAGATATCATAAATGTCTTGCACAGTCTGTTGCAAATTACTCATGTGGTGAATCTGCGTAAGATCAGAAACTCGAACACATTTTTCCTTCGAGAGATCCTCATGTTGGACAGACATTGATAACTTTTGGGCTGCAGTCGTAATGCGTTCTTGGCGGCTAAAACAAACATTAGCCTTCTGTCAGAGACGGCCATTTGGCAGATTGTTTCTTCAGTACGCTTGAAAGGATGGCCGAATTGAACGTTCCTAACTCAAATCCGCGAGATTCCCGATAGATATTTTCGATCCAAGGGAGAATACCTTGTTCCAGAGAATTTTGGATTTGGACACGGTCATGTAGAATGTCTTCGATATCGCTGCAACTATTCAGCTTTCTGCTGGGGACAGAGTTCTCATGTTCTTCTTCTACTCCTTCAATATCCGTGCCGATGCAGGTTCTGACAGAGCTCGGTGGGGAAGTCGCAGTGGTATTTGGCTGGTTTTCAGTGTTGTCGTCATGGCCATGCGACTTGAAGCAGTATACATGTCCCTGAGAACAAAAGTCATCAGAAAACTGTGCATTACGATTAGCAACCAAAGTTGCCCCCAATCTTAAGTCAGGTTCTTCGTCAAAAGCATCTTGCAACCCATAATTTGTATGGAGAGCATTCTCAGTGATACGCTGAAACTTCGACGCGATTTGGAGCAGATATTTGCTTTGTTGCTCGGGGGATTCACGCTCTTCTCCGAGGTTTTCAAGACCTCTTTTGCATTCTTTGAGACGTTTCGAGACTTCAGATCGCACCTGTCACTCATCACCGGTCAGACTTCGTATGCCAGTACTCGCAGAGGAACTAACCGATGGAAACTCTCGCCGCACGTTGGAAGCCAACAATGCTTGCAGGCGCGTTCTTAGAGACTCGATGCCGTAATTATCATTTGAGAGGCGGTTCCAAGGAGGCGAATTGCGGAATATTTCTTCTTCTACGTCACGATCCTTTGAAAAATCCTGAAGATCCTTCTGTCCAAGGTTCCGAACTACCACCCAGCATAATTCTTGAGACTCCTGCTTCCCTTCGACAAGTTCAATGATCTTATCTTCTGCACCTTTGTCGACAAGGTCTGGCTTTGTCAAGATCCGTAAGGTTCTTGTTCCATCCGGGTCTAGCTCTCTCGCGATTTCGATTATCTCTTGTGTTGCGATGTCCACATTGGCTGGAACAACGGCAAGCATTATTTAACAGGAATATCCTGTATAGCTAGGGAAATACAATGGATGTACTAGGCGATTGGCGCAACGGAATCAAAAAGGGGAACTACCCAAAAATGATGAGATCAAAAGAGTGTTGATTCCTGTCTCCTATCTACTGGGATCGAGGGGGTTAAAATAGCCTCGAGAATACCTGGTATCGAATCCTCTAGAATCCCAGAGGTACCGTTTGGGTCAATACGATGCTGATCACCATTTTCCTGACACCATATCATGCACACACCCAGGTTATTAAAAACCACGAATGCGTTGCTAACTGCGAGCCTTGCAAGCAGGCTCAATGATCCAATATAGGTGACAGATCGCATTTCTAGATTCAAGAGACTAAGATAGATTGAGATAAGTCTTCTTCGATTGTTACGGTGCGATTGGGAGACGGGTGCATCTTATAAGTTATTCTTCTGTTATAAGCATAAGAGTCTTTTTTCCGTTCGCAATCTCATTTAAATTAACACTAAATACGTTTGGACCGCTTCTTTGCAGCATATGTTCAGAAGCTGCAGTATTGCGGGCGGCAATTAGGCCACCGCAGGCCGTGACGAGACCCTAAGTTCGTTTTCAGGAGGTTGAACACTCTACATGTACGCGCAGGGATATACATAGTTGAGGTAGCGTGCATATCGCTTTTAAAATATTGTGAGAGGCCTGGGTAAATGAAGTCATCCTCATCTCCAACCGTATCGTCTCGTGAACAAGGACGTTCAATGTCATGGACTTCGCCAGATTGTTAGCGATTTCGTTACATCCGTGGCAATAACTTGATCTGTATTTTTTTCTCAACAACATCACAGACATGAAAGGCAGAAGGCCATCGTCGTTTTTTTCTTCTTCCCCACCTTCCGCTGTACATACTTCAACCTTGCAAGCATCGGCGTGCTGTGTTAGTACAAGCGTGCGGTCAATCCGGTACTTTACAAACCCTCAAGTTCCGAAGCCAAATGAGACTTGGTTAACTGCATCTACAGTTCCCAGTAGTCAGAACCTTGGAAGCCCCGAACTTCGCTTTAAGAGCGGTATATACATATGATGTGGCACGCTAAGTATCTCCTCTTTACAAGTCGGGGCGACATATATTTATTATGGTTCAATATGCCTCCCGAAAACATCTCCATTTTCATCACTTTTCTCTTTATATACTGTATGAAGCTCGTGGAAGGTCAAGATATCCCTCATGCACACATGGAACGGCCGCGCGGGTGCCAGCAAGAGTTAGTCAAACGAAGACTTCCCAACGGCCATCATACCGCTATTTCCGGCTCGCATTCTCTCCCAAACGCTGCGCTAAGCGACCCCGTCTCTATCCAGAACTCTCTCCCTCAACCTCGGGTTTTGTCTACCCTTAAGAGGCCGTCTCTCGCTCATAGTCAGCAAGGGGAAAAACCTGTTGTTGAGACCGCTTCTGTCGACCTCAGGAGCTCTGACGTCTCTCACCGTATCACAGGTACTACAATCATCAAGGGCGATCCGGCTGCTACTACCAGTGCAGCGCCCAAAGGAATCAGGGTTTCGAGGACTGAAAAGGCTCGCACAAACTATGAGACTGCATCTACCGATGCGAAAAGTACGAGCAAGCAGGGGCCAACGTTTGGCTCATCAGTCACTGCTTCAATAACACTTGCTTTATCTACTTTACCAACATCACCCCGTAGCAATCTCGTAGGTGACGTGGATGCTGGTGTGCACAACTTCATCGGTAGCTCGACTAGCAGCTCCACATCCTGGAGTGTCGCTGCTGTTACCCCCTGTACGGACCCCTTCGCCAAGGTGCTAAATACGTCGAGTTCCTATGCTTGGGCTACATCCACTGCTCCCTTGCTGCGTATTTTGAATTCGGGTCTGGAAAGCTTCCTCGGTTCCCCGACCAGTGGCCCCAACTCAGTGAGGCTCACTAAAGTTAGCTACTCTAGCAATCAAACTACTAGCTCCGGCGATTCCAGCAATTCGAATTTCCTAGGCCAGATCATGACAAGCTCCGAATCGGGATTCTTTGACCTATTGGGCCAGACTGACAAGGCATCCACTGGAAGCAGCACCACTTCAAATCCATCTCCTGGCACTTCAAAGTCATCCTCTAGCGCTTCTAGTCCGTCGACTATTCCAGTCGTCTTGTTTGCTTCCACAACTCCCTTGCTCTCACCCACTCCCGCTCCCATTGAGACTTCAGTTTCTGGTGGAATGCTCGGCGAACACCTATCCGGCGTTGAATCTCTGCTTAGTGCTGAATCCCCAGAGGCTAGTTTCACTGCCCTTAGTGTGACAGCGTCGATGCTTGACAGCAATCTGTTGTCGTCAAACTCGACCGTTCTCATTCCTGCTTTGAGTTTGGGAGATAGGGCCACTGCTTTTTTCCCTGACCCCAACCGCCACCAGTGGAGCGATTCCAATACCAAAGTCCTTCAACTCTGGTTATACTACCCCCATTGCTTCTAAATCTGACACTAGCCCTGGCACCGGTTTTGGCACTGGCACATGTTCTAGTACCACGTCGGCTACACTCTCGGGAATCACCGCCTCTGTTCCTAAGAGCGATTCTCCCAACACTTCTGTCTTCCTACATGGATCAACCAGCGATTTGGATATAAGCAAGCTCCGTGTAAAGACAGAGTCTTTTCAATCTAAACTGGCTACGCCTTCCAACTCCAACGATAATGACTGGATGCCATCGACCCTCCTTTTACTGCCTAGCATTCCAGTCATCGAAAGCTCGACCTCCGGCCTGACCGAGAAGCCAAAGAAAACTCATCTTCCTGGCTCTATCACCCCATCGGACGAAGTTACCGAGGCTCCGTCCGACTCGATCCTGCTTCAGCTTGGATTCGACGGCCAGCTGCCGTGGCCATTTGTTGCAACAACCCCTCTGTCCTCGTCACAGATATTCAAATACACCCCTCAGGCTATTGAGAATGCTTTGCCACATCACCCTGTCAAGGATATCCCAGTGATGTTTGCACTTCAGCCTTACTATAACTGGCAAACCGCCGGCTATAACGCTACCCTCGCAATCTTCTACTTCCCTCGTGACAAAGCCAACGCACTAAGAGATCTCAAGGTCAACCCTAACTCTGCTCTTTACAACCAGACAAATAAGAATATCAAGTTACTAATGGCCATGGTTGACCCGACAATCCCTCTCGAGTTCTCCGGTAACTATCCCATTGGTGACAGCAACTCAACCGCCGACGGCGGCGGCACCGGCAGTGGTCACAATGGTGGCCCGGTGAGTGGTAATATCAACAGCGATGGCTCAGCCAGTAATTTTAAGATCAAAGCTAGCTCCATAGGAGTTGGCCTCGGGGCTGTGGCCGGTGCTGGCGCTTACGGTGCCGGTATGTTCTGGGTTGCCCGTCACTATCGCAAGAGGAAACAGTTTCACCAGCGCTCCGGCTCTACTGTGAATCACATGTGCCAGGGTAATTCAGTTGATAGGCGTGCCCACAGCCCAGTCAGCCGTGGACATGGTCGCTCTCAAAAGATTAGCGCGCCGACTATGGCGGAAAACTCACTAGGGTGGGACTAGACGTGCTTCGATAACGCGACGCCAGAACGTAGCACGTATTGCAGCATACCCTACAGACATCCACTGTGCCGGTCAAAAGCAGTTTATTAGGAAATGGAAGTTAAAATCTGTGCTGTTTGTACATAGAACTCTTGGGTTCAATGGCCATCAGATAAGACTTGTATGTATCCTAGTGCGCGACTTTACTGAAACACACCTGCTTTGTGAAAATCAATCTGCCAAAAGATGACAAAATCCTAGAACGTCTTTTGCCACAGGTCAATGCCGACCGAAGCTGCAACAAAAACCAAAGCCGGGATACCATTAGCTCGCCGGAGACCTTGGTCATCTTTCTCAGGCCATTCCCGTAAGAGAACTATCTCGAGGGTAATATGCATGTTATTATCTGGTATGAGTCGTAGTTCCTGCTATATTCATCTTAAAACTAGGTCCAGTTACAATCAATCCCGTTGAACTTGTAGTTTGAATACACGAATAGTAATTTGGTGGTGTTTTATGTAGAATTCGACCGCGTAGAGGTAACCATGGGCATGTAAAACCGGATCCAGAGGCGTTTCGTTTCCGCCCAAGGACCATCAGGAACCATGTCGTGAGGGAATCTTCCATCATTAGACATCAAGTAACGTTCAGCTCCAGCCTTCAGCATTTCCCCAACTGTTTCCCAAGCCTCCTCCTTTGCAATTATTCGATGTAATGGCGTGTATCCAAAGTTGTCCTGAGTGTTCACGTCGGCTCCATTTTGAATGAGAAGCTTTATGATGTTGTGAACGTTCCTACTTTCAGCAGCATGATGCAGAGGACCTTTGCCTTGCTTGTCTCTCGTATTTGGGAATGCTCCATGTTCAAGTAACATCTTTGTTAATTCCATAGATCCCGTGCGTACAGCCAAGGAAAGAGGTGTCAGCCCATCGTCGTTTCGGAAGTGAACATCGGCTCCAAGCGACAGAAGAGTTCGGACACACTCCTCAGCTTCGATCTTATAATAGTGATTGATAGCGTAGAATATTGGTGTTTCTCTATGCTGGCCCCCGGCCCAGTTCACATCGGCTCCGCTTGTGACAAGCATGCCAATCATGTTGGGACACCAACACCAGGACGAACAGGACGAAGCCGCCAGATGAAGAACGGTTTCGCCATAGGCATTCCTAGCCATGATACTAGCGCCGCATTCAACGAGCGCCTGCGCTTGTTTGAATGCACCCTGTGAGATCGCATGCAGGAGAGGTGTCGCCTGGGCAGGGTTCCTGAATTCGAGCTCGGATCCATGCATAACGAGTGTTCGAATAATAGTTTTGTTGTCATTCCGAGGGTTGCTGGGCCTTGTTGCAGCGTAGAAAATTGCAGTCCTTCCTTCCCTCATGTCCGTGAAGTTTGGATTGGCGCCAAGATGTAGTAGCACGCGCACAGCACGTGTGCAGGAATGTTCAGCTGCTACTTGAAGAGGCGTCCTTCCACGATAGTCTTGAGACTCCACCTGGATACCAGTATCTATGAGTCTCTTCATGATTCCGGGGGTAGCGTTTTTCCAAGCCGCAATATGTAAGAGATTCATGCCAGTCCCGCTTTCCACAACGTGTGAATCAGCCCCATGCTTCAAAAGTAACTCCACTTTGTGTTCCTGGTTTGACCTTACGGCCTCAAGGAGTGGGGCATGTTTGTCCAGCACCGCGGAATTGACTCTGGCACCATTATCTAGAAGCAACTTAGTGATGGCCACATTGCTACGGCCATTTATCGCCATAGCTAAGGGCCTTCTGGACCACGCATCGACCGCATCTGGCAATGCCCCATTTTCCAGAAGGATTTGTACAACATGGGTATGCCTGCCGGCAACAGCTTCTAGCAGCGCTGTCGACTGTGCCCGATTTGACGACCGAAGGTTGACACTCGCCCCTGCCCGGAGCAAATTTCGGACTCCAAGTTCGTCCCCACGCCTTGCGTACCACAAAAGAGCCGATCCGCCATCCAAGCGAACATTTTTTCGGTAGGCCTCATTGATGAGGAGGTTGTACAGCATCTTGCTAGCTCGTAGAAAGCTGAAAAGATCTTTCGGCGAATCCAGATTATTTGCAATGAGAAAGGTAATTTCTGGTGGAACAGAGAGAAGACACATCTTAGGGCACTTAAAACGAATGGCTAATCCGCGACAAGATATAAGATTGATCGATCCTTAGTATCGTATTCGGACTCGACTGGCTAGGACTTGTTGCATGGGTCTTGTAGGATGAGGTCAAAATAAAAGCGAAATACAAGAGCAGAAGAAGCTTTTGCGATTTCCCATTTATGTTCTTAAGAGAAGGATTTGTGATTCTCACTACCATCGGTCCGCTCAGTTATCTGGCTAGACCGTTCAAAACTGTTGCGCCTTTATCGTTACCCAGATTGAACATTCTGAATAATCCTGCAATCATCAGGAAACCTCTCAGCTTTGACACCCCGTTAGACTCTTGCATTATGCGGAAATGATACGATGACCCAGCTAGCTTTTCTATTTTCCTTCCTATGCAGCTGGGAGGAGCAATCGATTAGATGATGTAAGAAATCTTGTAACTCTTGCTGAGAACCAAGTGACCCCTATTGAACATTCACTGGGGTATGACAGTTTCGAAGGGTGCATAGGACGGAAAATGAACTTTTTTCAAATGTACCGGTTTGGCAGGGTCCATATGCGAATGAACAGACCCCAGGCACAATGTTTGGTCAAAAGTTCATAAATAATCTTCTCTGAAGACCTTGTTAAAACATATGTGGTTAAGAGGTACATGAGACCCACTCACCAGCGAAGTTATTTTAGTTAATCAAAAAAGCCAGCAAAGCCCTAAACACCCCTGTTCATGCAAAGGTCATATACTGCCGCCTGTTAGGCTCGCCAGATTAAAAAAAGTGGTTACCATACTAGATCATAGATAGGTCTAAGTGCTCAAATCACGATGCACTCTTTTCCAAATTACGCTCAATTCTGGTACAATGAGACGCTGGTTTTCTGCTCTACACTCTCCGGTCGCCGGGAAATTACTAGTTTTGAGGAGGCTTCTATCTAGTATTACGCGATTCACCGATATGCCCATGCGTGGGACTTCCTAGATGTGACACCATCATCCGAGTTTCACACCAAATCTCATATTGGCAGGCCACGTGGAGTCCAGATGAAGATTAAATAGCATACAATAGCTTTCCTGGCAGCAAATCTACCCATGACATCCATTCATATTCAAATAACCATGGATCGAGGTTTTTCCTCAGTCTCAGTCCAAGGAACATAGTCACCTGTCGGCATTGTGGTGGATGGGGTACGTAAAAGAGTAAAAGAACGGACGGCAACCAGGAAATCACGCTGTGAGAGCAAACTCTGGAAGAGATGGGTGAGAAATTACAAACAGCCAGAATATAACTGATGTCTACTGTACTCAACTCACCATATCTACTTAGAACAAGTCTCCATTTGGGAGGCAAGTGGTCATAGCGGAACTCACAGCTCGCAAAAAATGAGTTTAATAATTAAATACCCATCTAATATAGCCATGCACATTGTACCATTGTTTCGACGTAGGTTAAAAAATGAAAATAAATTGAAAGACTAAAAATATGTCAGGAAAATGGTGATCAGCATCGTATTGACCCAAACGGTACCTCTGGGATTCTAGAGGATTCGATACCAGGTATTCTCGAGGCTATTTTAACCCCCTCGATCCCAGTAGATAGGAGACAGGAATCAACACTCTTTTGATCTCATCATTTTGGGTAGTTCCCCTTTTTGATTCCGTTGCGCCAATCGCCTAGTACATCCATTGTATTTCCCTAGCTATACAGGATATTCCTGTTAAAATAAAAATAAACAAGATCTCTTTTTAATTCGGCTAAAGTAGCAGGATGGATCATAGTATAGTAGAAAATGGGCAATTGGCTAGATGCCCACTTGGACCTCGAATTACTCAAGTTGAGTCGATTTAATGAGGTTGACAGGTATGTGAAAATCAATCATTGGGGAGTTCTACGGCTACACAGATTCACGATGGCCTACTAGTCTTGACCGGGTAATTACCATGCCTTGGCCTTCAAATATAGGTTTGGTGTAAATCTCTAACGTTCAACTATTTGGGCTGCATCTAACGAGATCTGCATCGCCATTGAACGAAGGGCACGATAGCCCAGCTGGTTCATCGCAATCATCACTTTAGTGTTGGTTTTTTTGGACTGCTTCCTCCAAAATGTCATGCACAAAGAGGTAAGGCTTGCGGTCTAAATTTCCTTCTAATAACACCCAAGGTAGTATCGTCGCTCTCCCAGGCCCACGGCCCACACATTGGGCGCGGCTTGTTAGCGTAGGTCTAGCTGAGCCATTCCGCTCTAGTCAAATAAGTGCGTTCGTAGCGTGTGCCTCTGAAAAAAATCTAACGGCGTACTAATTGAGCAGGGTATACAACCCCAGTTCTCGGATTGGTCCGACCCATTCCGCCAAGCTGTCTGTCTGGACTATAAAACAAGCACGACTTCTAGCATGGGAGCAAGGTCTGGCTACGTTCCCATTCACCCTTACCATCAATCATCCAAGAACAAGTCCAAGAAAATCGGCCATGGATATCTTTCAAACTCCTACTTCCGGTGAGAACCTTGGTCGGTTCTCCGGCCAACTTCGCGATTCCCTTGCTTCCAAAGCCAAACCTTTCGACATCTGGAGTGTTCCTGATTCGCCTGCAAGCCCCCAAGACGAAGAAGACTGCCCTTATGACATGGAAACGCAGTCCTATGCGGGAGAAAGCCATGTGCCAATGGATGAAGACATAGAAGATAGAGCTGATGCTGATTGGCCTATGGAGACTCAAAGTGCGGCAGGACACGTTCCAGAAGTGGTGCATTATGGAGAGACTGGAAGCCCCGTGTCAATGGGCAAGTTGCTGAAGTGTCTCGGAGAGTAAGATTTTCGCTTCTTCGTTGCAGTCCACCAGTGAATCTAATTTATTTCTAGCCTGAATGTCCGAGTCCAGTAAGTGCCTGCTTTTCAGCGATACTCGCTCCAGCCCTATGTCATGCTAATCGAAGCTTAGGTCCATCGAAGAACAGCTCGAAAAACAAAACTTCTGGAACGACAACATGGGACGAGGCGTGGAAAGCATGCAGGGCGGGTACCAAGAGATCTCGGCGCTCAGAGAGGAAGTGGTCACGCTGAAAGAACAACTCAACGCTCTTTGTAGGGGTAGCCCAGGCAGTGGGCGAAAGCCAGGACGCCCCAGGCGTGTCGCGCAATGAAGGTAGAGCGAGGACTCAGTTGTGGCAATACGCACACGATCTACATGTTCTACATGTCTATTTATTGGTACTCCAGAAAGAGGACTAGATACCCAAGCCTAGCAAGAATGTAGTAGGATTCGGTCCATCTCAACACATACCTTGACACCTAAACCCACCGAGTGGCACCATACAATTTGTCAGCGTCCATGCGATTTGAGCTCGGGACCCAAGCCTTTAGAACCTAATGCTCTTTCACAGTGAACCTGCTACATACCCACTTTCCATAGCTGGCTAGCCATCATTGCTAGCCGACAGACACCTGCGAAGAAATCCGCCCGCCCCGAATTGGGTATGATTTGCGCATCTCAATGGGGCGGCTTTTCCGCGACATGACTGGGCCGGTGATGGCAGAGATCGGCCGGGCCCACAAAGATCGGTACAGGTAGACCTCGAAAGGATCCGTTCTGATCTGTATCCGGATCCGCCCCGATCCGCCTTTGGGGCGGATCCGGATCTAGTTCTTCGATCCGCGGGGCGGTTCTATAAATCTTTGATCCGCCCTGTACGGGGCGGATTGATCCGCCGGATTAACAAAAAGGACAAACATAAGAAACCCTGTGATATGCATATTTTATGTAGATTTGGGCTGTATTTTTAAGTATTTGGCTTACAGATTAATCAAAAAAGTATACTAATGAAATAGAAATTGATTTGGAACTCTCTAATTCTATTAAATCTAGGGCTTTAAGTACTCCCATTCACCATCATCCCGCTTTGAACGCTTTGGAACCCGCCCTGATGTACGCCTCTGAGTACCACTTGCATCCTGCAGATTTGAATTATCAGGTAGCGGGATCTCATCCTCTTGGACTTCTTCATCCTCGTCTCCGAGTTCAATCAGAGGTGTATCTCTGATATCTCTAAGAGGTCTTTTACCAAGCGCAACCCTGCTCGGGCCCTGCGATGGTTGAGCCTTAGCTGAGAAATCTTCTTCAGTATCACTGATTAGATCAAACATATCATCATCTAGCCTTTCGCTCTTCCTTTTCTCCTTCACTGCTTGTATCTCCTGTGCTGTAAGATACTCCTCTATCAAAGTATGCTGATCACTTTCAATGTCAAACCTCGATGTACATAAATACATCATAAGATCCTGGATAGTTGTCGGTTTAAGAGACCCTCGGCGGTAATGACAGATATCACGAGCAGTATTGAAGAGTCGTTCAACACCAGAACCAGTCGCAGGAATAGAAAGAACATCGCGTGCAAGGCTCGCAAGAACTGGGAACTCATACTGATTACACTTCCAAAAGACACATGGATTAATCTTGCGAGTACCTAGTAAAGGATTAGTAAGAGATAATAAAAGGTATTTAGTAATGATTCACTTACTACTTCCAAGATATTGTGTAAGCTCATCGTCTTGGTTGATCTCACACCCCTGGGCTTTCTGCCTGTCACCTATCTGATCAACTATAGAGAACTGCTCTATAGAAGAAACTCCATGCAACGCTGGCCGAGTTTCAAAGTAACGCTTCTTGTATGGCTCAAGGTATTTTTCAAGACTCTCGCGGTATTGTTTGCGATAAGGCCCATTCCAGTCCTTCCCAGAGAAGTATTCAAGCTTGTTCTGGGGTGCCATGATAGTCGCAATCGCATAGAGATCACCATAGGCCTTGTCGGTCTCGGCATAATAGTCTCTTAGCTTCTGTGTTGCATATTCGAGAGCGGTTCGCATTATTATCTGCCATCTTGCTTTCTTTCGTCTAAGCTGGTCCCTAGACCTCTCGAGATGATCGAATAGCTGATTGTAGATACTAAAGACTATATGGATAGTGACATCCTTAGTCTTTGAGAGAACACTTGTGAAGTTGAAGAAGGGTTGTGTGATAGAAAGAAGATAGTCAATCTGCTTCCATTCGTCCTTAGTGAGCACAAGGTCAGAGAGGCCACACTCAGAGCAATACTTGTCGCAGATAGTCTGTAGTCTTTTGGCACGCTGGAGCATCAGAAATGTAGAATTCCACCGGGTTTTAACGTCCTGCATCAGAACAAGCTTTGGTTCTTTGGACTGGAGCTCGAGGAATTGCTCTCTACGCTGAGGGCTTCTATTAACCCAGACTGCTAGTCGCCGAACCTAGGTTGATATTAGTATAATATTAGCTAAGAAAGAAGGAGGGGGGGGGGGGATTTCTTACCTTATTAAGGGTAAGCACGATATCTTTCTTCTCTCCATGAGCTTTACCCCGGGACTCAGAATCTGTCCATTCCATTTCTTCTCGGTCATTCTTTGGGGCTGCTTCCATCCTGCCGAGAAGCTCGTTTAAACTGAGTTGAATAACATGTGCCATACACGGGATTCGAACAATAGGGGTACCATCTGGTAACACGAGTGAATCAAGAGCTTTCATGATACTATCATGGAGCGTCGTGTTATTTGATGCATTGTCAGTGGTCATTGTTAAAACCCGATCTTCGATGTGATGTTTTTTTAAAAGATCCAAGAGGACAACACTAAGGTCGGCCCCTTTATGGCTTCCATGAAGTGGCTCAAATCCAAGCAAGATCTCACGGTAATGCCAGTCTATATCGATAAAATATCCGGTAATGGCCATAAAGGCTTGGCGGAAGGGCGAGGTCCAGCAGTCTAATGCAATAGAAAGCTTCGCACCTGACGGAAGCATCTGTAGAAGGCCTTTTTGGCGTTCTATCACTTTCGCCTGGATCTTCTGTCGTACTAGATATGCAGACAAAACCCGAGGCGGAGATGAGGCGAGACTAGCCAGTTTGACTAGTTTATGAAACCGAGGATGTTCAACAAACTGAAATGGTAGTCGTAACTCAGTAATTAGAGATATCACACACTCATCAAACTCCTCGAGGGTAAATTTCTCTGGCTGAGGGCCATTAAGTACCTAAGATAAACAAGTTAATTGTAGGTTCAAGGAGGAGTAGGCATAATAAAAATAAGTTCTAACATACCCCTGATTGAAGAAGCTTTCGAATATCCTGTGAGGGTTTCGATCTCCGGCAATTAACACCCTCCCGGACATGCTTATTTAGGGAGGATGTCCCACGATTTCCGACCGCGGGGTGGATGATAACCTGGCTGCATACTTTGCACATGACCTTAGGTGACCCATTTTGAATCATAGCAACCTGATAGAAGTGTTTCCAACAGTCCGCTTGGCGTCGTTTCTCGAAGATATTCCTTTTCATCTGACTTCCATACTCTGTCATCAACCACCACCCACAGAATTCATCATTCATCTCCTCAGTCCAGAGTATAAAGTGCTTCTGGTTTGTCGTAGGCCCAACACGTTCTAGAGTCGGTGGAACAGGAGGTACTATTAATGGTCGAGCGGAATCGCCGTCAGGTGTAAGGGTGGATGTCTGCTGAGATAGAGCACTAGGGGTAAAATATATTGCTCCGTCAGAAGGAATATCTGAAAGGTTATCTAGAGGATTATCCTCAAAGATAGAGGAAGGGTAGGTATCCGAGAACTGAGAGGCTTGACTTTGTGACATAGTGAATAAGTATCACTACTAACTTTAGTAAAGAGAAAGAAGGAGACTTACAGGGAGGAAAGAAGCGAGAAAGAAGGGAAATTAAAAGACGCGACCAGGAGCGCGAGCTGAACGACATTGTAGATATATCAATTCTAATATGGGCTAGGCGACCTACAGCCCTACTATATGATTGGCTTTAAGAGCAAAACGAGCCCACAATAGAACGGATCTTAACGGATTGATCCTGATCCGCCCTGGGAAAATCCTGACTGATCCGCCCCGCCCCGCCCTCCTAAAACCTTTTAGTATGTTTGAATTTGCCTGACTCTTTAATCCAAAGTATGCTATGTAGGCTACAGAGATAGGTATTTCGGTAGGAATCACTTATTAAAAACAAAGGAAGAAATGAAGTACCTTAGTTTATCAGCTAACTAATCATAAGGATATAATGATTTTAGAAGGCTTTGCTTTAAAATAGTTCAAGAAAGTTCCGAAAAAGTGTGACATGATACTTGGGTGAGAATATATATTTCCCATGTCATTACAACACCTCAACTTTACTTTAATAATTGGCTAACAACCAAGGTCGGAAATGATGTTACGACTTCTATTATTCAAATTCCATAGGTAAAATGATTTACATACGGTTTCAAAACATGAAATTTCAACCAAAAAATCACTAAATCTTAGGAGTTATGAATGCATTGACCAGAACAAGTGTATATTACAGTATTTTATTTAGATAAGTCATCATTTATATCCGCCAAAACAGGAAAGTCTTGGCGAGTTTATGCAAATCAGGATCGAAACGGATTGATCCTAATCCGCCTTGCGTAGAACCGCGCGGTGCGGATCCGGATCAAAGAATTCGATCCGGAAATCCGGCGGATCAGGATCAGGATTCAAAAGTTGGATCCGGATCCGCCCCATTTCGAGGTCTAGGTGTAATAGGGAGGTAAGGTATAATAGTAAGGTTAGACCTCGCCATGACCCGGACCGTGGGTCCCTTCTCGCGACCCTTGACCCGCCCCTCCGGAGGGGAGGGTCGTAGGCTGACGACCCTCACCGCACCTGAGGGTCATAAAATCTTTGGAGGGTCACCCGCCAAGTTACCCTCACGACCCGCATATGCATAAATTCTTCACACCTTCCCTGATTAGGATGGATAAATTTGCTGACAGATAGCAATAAATTACTGTTTCTTATACCTGTTTCGTCTGTCACACACTTAATTCATCTTTTTCTATCCGACCCCTGTGTATTTTTATGAAATATGTCTTCAGGTCTTCTTGCTTGGTAATACTCAATTGACAGATTCTCAGGTCTAAGGGAGACCGTTGTGGTATGTATTGTAAAGAATTGGAGAGATTGGCAAATCACGATGTGGAAATATATATTTTGAGTGCAGAACGTAGTCGCACCGCAATCCAGAGACGGCTAACATTTTTCTGGATATAACCTAAAACCACTGGAAATCCTGACTTCATTGTATTTGATATATTGTATTC